GTTCAGAACACTGTTAGCATTGAGGAAGAATAGACAAGCACTGGGAGTTTCATGGCTGTAAAAATAAACACTGTCAGCAGGATACATAAAATAATGTATTGAATTTGAAACACGACATCACAGGCGAATGAAGAAAACCAGTTGCATCTGCTAAGCATTTCTGGGCAGATCAATTTACATAATGTCATTCTATAACTACACAACTTTATTTTAAAAGTCAGACAGAACAGTACTGCAGGTCTGCGATAAGCAGCAATGGACTTTCTTAGGTCAAAAGAAACAAACAAAAAAGCACCATCTTTTTTTATCTAGGTATGAAACACATCAGGATGAACATACTCAGAACCCCTGAGCTTATGTTTAATGCAAAATTGAGCGTGTTCAGAGAACTACATAAAGATTTGCCTGCTTGATTTCTGCCACTTCTTTAGAATCCAGGGTGTCAGCACATTTAATATGAGAACTGTTGTAATGATGGCATGTGCTGTTGTGCAGAGGTGAGGAACCTCAAAGTCATAAACTTGGGCGGGGTGCAGGTATTTGTTAAGGACTTTGCCTGTCAGAAGTTGAGAGCCATAAATGAATTCATTTGCCTGTGAATCCATCTGCCTATTCTTTGTATTTTATACTAGGTCTCAGGATGCATCAGTGACAGTCTGGTATTACCCTAAAGTGCTGGAGGCTTATTTGATCACTTTGAGAAGTTTCTCCCACGCCTGCAAGTAGCAGGAAGAAGGCTGCGACACCAGAAGCTTTAAAGAGGTCTGGCTTTTTCTTAGTCTGTGTAGTGAGTGTAGATGTTGATGCTGGTGCTAGTCCTGTCCATGCACTGTGGGGCAAGGTGGAACATTTGGATTCATAATGGAGATAATTGAAGGGACAGAATTCTTCAAGTGTACCCAGATAATTGACCAGGAAACTGGAAATCCTGGTATCAAGGTTGTAGCCTGGTGAGGAACTTATACTGTATAAAGCAATCTTCTTTTTTTTTTTTTGGGGGGGGGGAGAGGGGAAAGATAGGGAGTGATGACTAACAAAAGGGCAGTAGGAGGGAAGGAAGGATTTGGTGAAAGCTTTGAATGATCAGAGAGGACAGTTATCAGATGAAGCAATTTCTGGGAGACATACAATGAAGTATTTTAAATTTCAACAATTCAAGTTGTGCAGCCACTCAGAAAAACTTAAAAGCTTTTTTGAAGATAATTGCATGCATTTGACATGTACTATATGCACTTACTCTTTCAGAGAGTGCAAGTAATTGATCACTCCTGCCTAAGTTAATAGTGCATCTCTGTCTAGATTGCAAAGCAATTGCTGCTTGTTTAATTAATGAAAATTATGCCTAACAGTCTAAAATCCAGATTCTAGTTACTTTTTAAGTTAAAGTGACTAATATATTTTTGGAATAACAACTCTGTGTTTTTCTGCTGTGTACAGGGCAATAACACTCCAAGTTCAGAGCTTGTATAATCCACAAAAATAATTCCCAGTACCCATCTATCTCTGTATCATCAAGCTGGTATCACGAAGACTATAGATAAATCCAACAACTGGAACTTTCACTAACAGTCTACTTAAGGCTGATGAATTTGAGAGGCTGGTCAGAAAACAGTGATGAAAATTCAGTAGCCTAGTGAACACTGCACGATGGGGAATGATAAGTTTAGAGAACAGTTTGGTGTCGTTATATCGTTAACCACCATTAAGCCACCCTTTGTGCAATGAGTGAAAAAGAATAAGAAGAGGTAACATCTCTGAAGCAAAAGGAAAAATACACTACAGTCTCTCAGTAGCATACCCTGTCCCACACCATCAAGCTTATTTTTATCTTATTTAATGCATAACATCAAGAAGCCTGTCACTTACTGAAACACTTATACCAATCTAGTTATCCGCCAGCTCTGAACTGAGCTGCATGACTAGAATCTGGGCAGTCTACCTGCCTTAGTGCACACTGTTACCACTTGTAGGACTTGAAATACAGCCAGAAATGTGGGTCACAATGGAAAAGATTAGAGTCCATCTCCTGTGCTGAAGTCCTGTGTCATAGCAGGTGACCTTAGTGGAAAAGCAATGTGAACTGCGAGGATTTACACTATCTCAGATTATTTTTACTATTGCATCACCAGCCTGTGTGCATTTTTTAACCTATCAAAATGACTGACATTATTTTATTACCTCTGTGGTTTCATCCTAAAACATTAAGCGCAAGACAGTGGAATTTGGTATTTTCACAGCATGGCTATGGAACGAGATACATGTCTATGTACTTTCGCTGCAGATGCCCTCATTCTACATCTAAGAAAATCTGCTTTCCTGCTTCTAATGTGACCTAAAATATAAGACAGCTTCTCAAACACAGTATGTAGACGTAAGGCATGCTAATATAGGTATCAGCTGACCCACAACCATACATTTGAAGGTCAGGTAAATCTTAACTTAGGCAAAATTCATGATTGATACTGATTTGACTGTTTCTCAAATGAAATTTTAAACAAGAAGTTTTTCAGTATGGGTTTTTTGAATGTGTTGGTATCAAGCATTTATGAATAGCTTTAGTAATCAACTCTCATAGGAAAGGAAAACAAGTATGTGAAAAGTCTGCATCCTATTTACATTTGTAATGTTTCATAATTCTTAAGGTATCAGTAGAAGCATTTTAATGAGGGGTTTGACAACAGTGCTGTACCAAATGCAGTGAAAATCCTTTTGATGGTTAATTAAAGGAGATTGTAAGGACATAATTTGAAAAGATAAGGGTGGAGTTAAAAAGGATACCTCACCCACTAGAAAAATGCCTGTGTTGCTCTTGGCCTATGTTTAAGTGCATGTTAATAGATCTCCAAGAACAGGTATTTCTTCTTCTGCAAGTAGTAAGATGTCTTCTCATTTAGTACTTTATCATCAGGTATAAAAAAAATCATCTGGCCTTGTGCATACTAGAATAATGCATGTTTATAGAGCTCTGATTTGAAAAGTCACAATACTTTGCCCCCAGGATGCAAACATGGTATTGCTTGAGACACCCAGCAACTAGCATAAATGCATATGAATTTAGCGATGCCATTAATGCTCTATTTTTAGTACTATGATTCTGTGCATCACTATTGTGATACAGGGTTTCAGTGTATCCCTATTTCAGTAAGTGTGCTGAATTATTTTTCAGTGGTCAGCAGTTGCGTATCCATTGCTCCACAGTGAAGCTCATCTTGATTTAAGAACCTCCCACGCTGATGTGTCTCTGCAAACTGTTTACGTAATTCTAATAATACCACGGAATACTGCAGACTGCCGTTTAAAGTGCACAAGTAAAATTCAGCCCCTTAACTTCTCCTGATTTGCAACAGGATTTTAGGTGGAGTACTTACTTTATTTTGCAGATCTGATCTTTCTGATTTGAGTTTGATTAAACACCATGTATTCACGTTTAGCTTAGAAAAAGAAGAAAAATGTGATTCTTTTGAATAGCAGTATCAAATGTAAAGTTGAGAAAACCATAACTGGTAATTTTTATCCTAAAAACAATTCAAGGTGAAATCTTGGCTCTATTTAAATCAGTACAAGATTCCACTAATTTCAAGTGAAGGTATTCACCCTGCTAAATGCTTTATATCCTAAGGGCTCAGTAAGTTGTTGCAAAAACATTATGTAGTTAAATGATGAAAAAACCACACACCCATTTGTCTTTAGAAAAGGGAATTTCCTCACCTAAGGTAAAAATTTTTGCTGCCAGGTTTCCGTGGGAGAAGCTGACAGAGGTAATCCAGCAGTGATGAAATATTCCAGGATTAATTAGACATGGCCTAGATACAAGCAAGAGAGTATCAGGGCTGACCTAAATGTAGCAAGGAACAGTGCCTCTTTCTCATCGTTTCTGTTAATCCACCTTGACACCAAAGGCTGCGCAGGGCAAGTTTGAAAAGAGCGCTTGGATATAAGCCTGAAAGACAAACAAGTTGTTACACTAATTTTAATTCATATTATTATTTAGATTTAAAGTGTATTGAAGACATGAATTAGCTTCCTGTGTCTTGTAGGTTAGTAAGAAGTCAAGCAGGTTTTCCAAGTACTTAGTCAAGAGTCTACAAAAGCCCTGCTGTGGATCACCATGCTTTAGCAGAATATGAAGTTTTCCTATTGCTTCTACTTTGTCCCAAAACACCATCTCGGCCAGGGGGAAACCAATTCACCACACACATGCTGTGTTCATTTTTAAGTACATACAAATATGTCAAAGTTGTTGATAGCAAATGAGGAATGGAATAAACTTCACTTTGGCCTAAGGTTTACAGGAGCAGCTATCATTTGTTAAAGTATCAGCAATTCTTCAGTTTAATTTGAAATAATGTCTGTTTCAGTAATGTGCTCTATAAGCGTGTTGAGTCTCAAGTTACAACCAGTGAAATAAATTGATTTTTTTTTTTAAGGACAAAACTCTAAATTAGTCTATTCCCTCTTACTCTGTGAACTCCAAGTAAATTCTGAACTTAAAGGATGTCCCTGAGTTGATCAAAGTACTCAGAACAAAGATTCAGTTAAGCCAGTATTAAAATGAAAGTACAATACAGAAATCTGCTTCTTGCTAATTGCAGGGAATTTTAGACAATATTTGGTTTAATGGGAATACTCAGCCCACTAGTTTTTAAGTCACTGCAGTTATACATTAGAAAAAGGGGTTTGAGTGGCAGTGAATTGAGAGGTCTGAAAACCTGCAGTACTTGAAGATGGATGAGATCCTGCCATTGTTACTATTACTTGTCACAGGTGACTAAAAAGCAGCAGAGTTCAGCTTGCCAAGATGATGGCTTTATTACAGTTCTTCACCTTTATTTCAAAGTCTTTTTGACAGGTCTAGGAATTTTTTTGGTGAAGTTGGGTGGGTTTTGTGTGGGTGGTTTTTTTGGTTGTGGGTTGTTGTGGGGTTTTTTGGCTTAGCTTTCAGTTTGGGAGAAAGATGGTAAACATTTAAAAACAAAAAGTTGAAAGGAGTATCCATCTCAATACTTGAGTTAAAAATGCACAAGTTGGGAATCATTTAATTCATATCAAATAAGGATATCTGTATGTAACTTTGGATCTGAGAAAAGGGAGAAACTACCACAAAATGATGCATCTGCATGTTGTACTATAGCCCTTATGAAATCTTTTTCATTATGATTATATTTAGTAAAAGACTTGAATGTGTGCAGTGTTATGATCCAACAGCTGCTATTGCCTGCAATTCCACAAGCAATTCCCGCAAAATATGTCTTTTACAACAGAATCATTTCATTGAATTACTAATCAATACAACTTGGTGTCAGACCATACATAATAGAAATAATCTACTGTTTAAGAATTTCTCTTCAAATAGCAGCTCAGCTGCTGGCAATATCAAACTTAGAACTTATAAAATCTGGAAGAAGTAACAAAGCTTGGAGCTGTCTGGCAGTGCTTTTATGATTCATTGCTACTAAGACTCTCAACTTCCAGTCATCAATTTGTGAAGGAGGCTCTGCCCTGAAAACTTTAAATGACTAATGGCAATAGTCCTGCTGTCATTTTCTGTTGCTGAGACCTTCCCCATTCTCCAAGCATCCAGGGACCCCAGTCTGAAAAACAGAGCCCAGACGATCTCTGTGATGTTGCTCAGTTTCTACTATTTCAATGTTAATGTATAAGCTTATCTACTGAACTGGACTTTCCCAGTAATTATTAATTTACCTTTTACTTATTTATGTAAAAAAGGGCCAATGACACTTTCTGAAATAATACTTTGCACACTTATCCTGTGACTAAGGAACAACAACAGATACTTGGTTTAGGGACTAGTAACTGTTGCATGTCCATGCTTTTCTTTGTAAGTCTCAAGTGTCTGTCTGTGAAGCTTCATAGGGTTTGATCTTGCTCAGATTTGACACGCTGGCTTTATTGAACTCATTGTGTGCTTTATAAATGTTTATTATCTTCAGTAGTTAGGTTTTGTTTCATTTTGAGCAACATGGCAGAATGTATCCTGAAGAAAAAACTGTCAAAGTTATTGAAGTTTTACAGCCAATATAGCAAGTATGATACTGAATTGATAATTCCCAAGTTACCAGTTATATATTAGACTACCAACACTTTATCACTAAATAGTAAAAAATACAGAAATATGAAAATCTCATTAATTTATAGTTGCAAAATTTTCCGGTTTGCACCTCACATGTACTGCAGATCTTGTTCAGCCTGACAATTTCATCAAATTAACTCCACTAATATTCTATATTTTAAAAGTTTTCTGGAAAAGTAAATCAGCATCTGAAATGTGGGTGGTTACACCACTCTTTTTTTTTTTTTTTTAAGCATAACAGAAATTGCAGCAACCTATTTCAATTTTCTCTGCCCTAGATTCAGGAAATGATGCAAGTTAATTTCTGTTCATACTCAGAAATATGATACCTTGGAAAAGCATACTTTCTGGACCTGACCTGATTACTTACATCTGGCTCAAAATACAGGTGAGAGTTCTTAAAAATAAAAAATAAAAATAAAATAAAATAATAGACATTTAAAATATTTTTTACCTTTAAAATGGCAAACCCGCACTTAGAATCAATCCAGTTCTCTTCAAACTTAAATAAAACACCCACATAACAGACCATCCCCTCCACTATTTTAATGAGATCTAAATCTGTCAAGGATTGTCAACACTCATCATAGTGTGGATGTTTTGAGGACTTGCAAATCTGAAAGAAGTTAAATTTCTTCAGAGAAAAGCAGTATTAATAATACAACATTGCTAATAAACATTGATTGGTACTCAATACCAAAAAAGGGCAGCTGAAAAAAAACAAACGGCTTCTTACATTCCAGTCTTCAGAACATGGGTAGAATCCAGACCAGTACAAAATAATGAGCTCATTTACTGTTGTGTAGGAAAAGAGAAGAGTAGCTAGAGGTGATATAGCAGGAGGAAAACCAAATAAGTAGGCATAACAGGAGTATGGGGGCTAAATGTAATGACAGGAGCTTCATAACATGTTCTTCATAAAAATGACAGGAAAAGCAAATGAGGCAAACTGCACTCTGCCAAAAACATCCATTCAAATCCTGAAGTATTGGAAGGATCATTTTTGGTAGGACACATGTTGCTAGACCTCTGTTAAAAATAAATAAATAAATAAATAAATGAGAATTACAGGAGGAATGATACTAAAGGCTAGAGATCATTAACACAAAACAATGAAGATGAAGCACATCACAGTCTAATTTGCAAAAGCACATATTAAATATTACTGAGTCACTTATTTGACTTACTTTTAAAACAATCCCAGAAATTAAGAATTTTAAATCCTGTAGTTCCTTTTTATCAACTGTGAGGTTAAATATACATGCATTGTACATATTTAGGGCATAGTTTTATCTCCATCATAGTATCACCTCATTAATCCAGAATCTCACTGCAAATCATTCAGTGCTGGGGGCAGTGTCAGAAGGGAGGATGAGCCTGATTAACATAAATTAAGGTAAATCGGGATAGGCTTCTCCAGCCACATGTAGAGTTTCTACCTTCTCAGATGCAAACTAGGGAAGGAGTGTCTTGGATTCCACCTTGACACCCCAGTAGTTCAGTTAGCAGCACACAAGAGTTTTCCATAAGTGTCAGTGTGGCAATATGTAGGGATACGGAAAACTACATCAGATTTGTTCAGAGATGACTACTCAAATGTAAATGACCTTAGAAGAGCTGGCACTGGAGTAGGGAAGGTCAGAAGAGGTGTGAAAAGGGAGCTGGAAGTTTTCACTGGAGCAGAGGTGTTGCTTGTGTCGAGGGTATTCAGTTTAGGAAAGCAAGTTACTCCCTGCCAGCTGGCTCTTTCTAGCACTTTCTTGTTTAATCAAAGCATGACCAAATTTGTGTTACGTGAAGCCTAGAGTGTAGTGAAATGCTGTATTAAATGAAGCATTGGTAGTTAGATATGGAAACTTCTAAGAAAGTGAAATTGCTTGATGTCTACAATTCATTTGTCATATTTTAACCCCACCTGGCAACCAACACCACTCAGCCACTTGCTCAGTTCCCCCCCTCCCACCCCCCCCCCCCAAGTTCAATGGGGGATTGAATCAGAAGGGTAAAAGTGAGAAGAGCGGTGAGTTGATAAAAAGACAGTTTAACAGGTAAAGCAAACCAAGGTTTTCATTCACTTCCCATGGGCAGACAGGTATTTAGAGAGATATTAGAGCCATCTCCAGGAAAGCAGGGCTCTACCACAAGTAATGGTTACTTGGGAAGACAAATGCCATCCCTCCAAAGGCCCCCCCACTTCCTTCTTCCTCCAGATTTATATGCTGAGCATGGCACCATAAGGTATGGAATATCTATGGTCAGTTTGGGTCAGCTGTCCTGGCTGTGTCCTCCTCCCAGCTTCTTGTGCACCTGCAGCCTCCTCACTGGGGGGAGTCGGGTGAGAAGCACAAACACCTTGACACAAACGCCTTGACTCTGCGAGCGCTGCTCAGCAACAACTGAAACAGCTGTGTGTTAGCAACATTATTTCCAGCACAAGCCCAAACCGTAGCCCACACTAGCTACTATGTAGAAAATTAACTGTACCCCAGCCAGCACCTGCGCACCATCGCTAATTTCAAAGGACCTATTTACATGCGGGGGAGGGAAACAACCAAAACCAAACCCACAATTTGTGTTTTGTGCTTACTGCACTCAGTAGAAAGAGAGGTTGGTCCCTGACTTGCAGATTTTACAAAGGAGATCTGTGTGTTGACAGAAAACAACCCGCAGATAAGCAAATGAACAGCGAAGCCCTCAGAGCAGCTTTGTTGTATTACGGAACTTTCTCCAGTTTTCATCTTAATAGGTACAAAAGTTCTGTAGGAATTTCGTTTCAAACACTGTGTTAATGAGCAAGCAGAGTGCTTTGTTACGGCCACATATTCAGGACAAGAGTTAAGAGGCGTATCCAGATCCTGGTGCTTCTCTAGTGCTAGCAGTTGCATGAGATTTTGACATTTGCTAATGACCCTGCTCCAGGCACCATCCCCCAAATCCCCAGCAATAAGGCAACTGCCTGGCTTAGGGGATTGGTAATCGGATACTTCACCTCAAGGTCATTGTAGGTCTCTAGTTCAAGAGCAGCAAGGCTTTGTAAAGACTTAGACACCATTGGATATTTATTTGGAGGCATATGGATAAGTGAACATGATTTCTGTGCAGCAAGCAGCAGACATGTCCACATATAGATACAAATATTATGACAGTTGCAAGTCTGTTAGAAGCATTTGAATGACAGTATATCAGTCTGACAGAGGTTGATTAACTCCCTAATAACAGTGGGGATTGTGTCTTGTTTTAGTGCTGGATGGATTGTAAAAAGCATCATGGTTTCTACAGTATTTTGCAACTGAGAGAGGCAAAAATCCATGTTTAACCCTCCCTTTCCCCTGTCCAGGTTGTAAAAGACTTTGAAAGTAGTTTTGAATGTTACTGGAGGCAGTCCAAAGCCAATTTGAATTTGAGTTTTCTGTCTTTACCAGTCTGAATTCAGCAAGATCTAAAATATCTTCTGCAGGTCTTTCCAGGTACTTCACTACATAGGAAAAACTGCAAGTGCAGAATCTGAAACTTCCACGTCTTAATGAGGATAAAACGGGAAAAAAAAAACTACTTCCAAGGTCAGTATTAACCTAATGCTTCTGCAGTCAGACTGCATGGCCTGTGTGTGAGGAAAAAATGTAGATGATGCTCCCTATTGTGGTGGGACCAGAGCAGGCAGGTGTAATAGTAAAACAGAAGCATGATGATTTTTCCAGTCTGCTGTCAGGGGTAGTTTCAGAAGGGAGTGGGGCTGGCTGGCATGAATACCTTGTCTATTGGCCCGTGCTGCCTCCCAGTGGGCACCAACTTCTCTTTCGGGGGGAAAAGGGTTTTTTGTAAATGCCCAATACAGAAACCACTGCCCTCAGACAACTAATGGGGGAATTCACTGACGGCAACACTTCTGCTGTCTAAAACCAAACTCTTGGGTTTTGTACAGTCTACAGCACTCTGTGATGATCTCGGATGCATGGCTCATCCATGGGTTTCTGCAGAACATAAGCCTCCATTTAAAAGCAGACAAAAACCCAACCAACCAACCAAACAAAACAAGGTTTCTGCAGGCAACTTTACTAATGTGAATTCACATCGTATTGACTCGCACGCAGAGGGCTCTGTCCCTGTCACTCTCAGCTTTAACAAGCAGCATCAGAGTGGTATCACATCGCTTGAATGTAGCCAGTTTTACAGAGCCCTCTGTGCAGTGCTAAAGGTAACTTATTTTTTCTTCTTACTCTCTTTGAATGTGCTCACAACACCCACACAGGACAATGAAAAGGGATCCCAAAAATGGATAATAAAACAACGGGAGGAAAGAGCCCCTTTTGCTACAGTAAGGTCTCCATAAGGCAGTGAAAAGAAGAGTTGTCAGGAACACTTCCATACCTTTTCGACAGCCTACAAAGCTTCACAGTTTGTAGCCCCAACCTGCCCTTTCCTACTCAGCTTGCTAAGCCAAGGGGTCTGCTTAGAGCCGGGCATCTCAACCGTATGCCCTTCCTTGCTAAAACAGCAAACAATCCCTCCCAGGCTTGTGCTATTGTCTACCTGAGAACAGTCACACAAACTTTTGTGTTGGGTTGTTTTTGTGGTTACTGCAACCTAAAACAGGGCAGGGGCTTTGGGGAAAACACTGCTGGGGACCCCTGGAAGTCACAGGGCTTTGCAAACACTCCTAAGGATTAGAACTGTTGCCCATGCTTTGAACATTGTGTTTTTCTAAGTCTCGAGCTGTGCCCTTAAAGAATGGGTGGGGGGAGGGAGGTGGCAGATCATACAGTGCTATAGCACAAGTTATATGAATAAACAAAGACTTCTGTATCCAGGTGTGTGCAACTACAAAAGTCACATAGGTATGGGTTGGGGTTTGGGGTTTCTTTTCCTCCAAAGTGATCCTGTTCAGAGTGTAATACACTGTTTTATTTCTACAGTGCTTATCATTGAAGTTAACGCTTAGGATCCTTCGATGTGATATCCTCCCAGTGCACACAAGAAATAGATCTGAAAAACATCAAAGCAAGCGGATAGCACTGAATACACAGTAAAGGCAAAAGTATTACTTTGGAAGTACTGTTCTTGCATCACTCTGCTTTGTGAAGAGCTCACATCGGGTTTGCATGCGTGTGTGCACGTGCGAGACTCCTTCAAAGGAGGAAACAGGATGCCTAACTTTTAGTGCAGAAAATTAGTAACAAACTACGTGCAAGATAAGGGCCGATAACGTCTCTGTAATCTGCTACTTAATCTGCTACCCTCAAGACAGATCTGTTGACTTTTCGGTGTTAGTGTGCCCAGGCTGCAAACAATAACTAATGGGCCTGTGCTACCCTGTGACAACCACTGGAGCCGAGCTTTTACACCTCGATTTTTACAAGTCGGTGCCCAGAGCGGAGCTGCCCATCCGGCTGGCTGAGGAAAGCCAGCCCCCAGCTCTAGCTCTCCCATTCCGTGCCATTATTCCGGGCGGGGTGCAGGCGCCGTTAACCCCACGGCAGGAGCAGGTGTAACGGGAGCACACACCCGCTGCTACCACCGGGGCGGGAGCTGGGTGCCGGGGCGGGAGCGGCTGCCCGGTGCGGGGCGGCCACGTGGAACCGCGGCTCCCGCGGCGGCTACTTCCTGCTCCGCATCGCCCCGGCCGCTGTGCACAGCGGGGAGGCAGCAGGCAGGCGAGCAGCCGGCAGTGGGGGAGCCTACTGGGGCGCAGGGGGAGGGAGGAAGGAAAAGAGGGGCGAGACAGAGAAGAGAAAAAACACAGAAAGTTTGTACGTGCGGCGGTGGGGGGGAGCCTCCGCAGGCGGGCGGCTGCTGGAGAGCAGCGGCGGCCGGGGGAGAAGGGGGAGAGGAGGAGGTGCCGGTGGGGCCGCGGGGGGCGGAAGCCCGCCGGTGCGCGGGGCCGGGCGCTGCGTGCGCGGCGGCGGGAGGGAGAGGGCGGGCGGGAGGATGCGGCTGAAGCTGGGCTTCCTGCTGCGCGCCGTGCTGCTGGCGGGCAGCTTCTTGGGGCTACTGCTGCTCTGGTCCTCTCTGTCGCCCCGTACCGAGGAGCCGGTTCCCCCGGGACGGACGCGGGTGAGTGTGCGGCCGCGCCGGGCAGCGGGGCGGGCGGGACAGAGCGGGTGGCGGGGCCGCCTCCCGGGATGTGACCGGCGGCGGCTGCGAGCGAGCGACCGGGGGGGGGGGGCTGCCAGGCCCGCGGCGCTGCAGGCCTGAGAGGGGAGCGCGGAGCGGTGGCGCCGGCCCCAGCTGTCCCCCGGATCCGGCTTCCCTGCCCGGGCGCCGCCGAGCCTCGGCCCGCCGCCGCCGTAATGCTGCCCTCGCCGGGCCGCGGAAAGGACTGGGGCCGCTGCTCTCCGATGGGCCCCGGCGGGTGTCTGGTCTCCTCCGCAGCACCCCCGGCCGCCGAGGCCGGGGGGAAAGCTCGCAGCTGGTGTCTGCCGCCGGCGTGGTGGTGTGGGCAGTGCTCCAATGGGGCCCTTACCCAGGACCTCCCCGCCGGCCGTGCCCTGCACACTCAAACCGCGTGGGTTCGCGCCGCCTTTGGGGGTTTTCCACCCCGAAAATAACCGCGCTGGTGTGCGCGGCGTAAGCATCCTGCAAAGGTTCCCCCGGGCTTCAGCGAAGGGTGCAGGTGTTCCCCCCTCCCATCCACCCCGCCTCCGGGGATCGGCTTTCTGACGTTTTAGTAACCCAACGGCACGTTTTGCCAAGGAGAAGCAGCAGTTCGGTTCACTGAAGAACAGCCCCAAGGTGTCGGGTTGATGGTGGTGGCAGTGCAGATCTCTGAAATGGGGGGGGGGAGACCCGTGAGGCGCGGGGTGGGCAGTGTGTCGGCCGAAAGGGGCAGTAGCCTTTAGAAATGCTTCAGGAAGTCAGCAAACAGGTCCGTAGCGAGAGCCTTGCAGGCCATGTTAGTCAAGTGAGAATAATCTGACCCTACAACACCAGGGTCTTGGAACGAGTCAAAGTGCTCTATCCATTTCACCAGATGTTTTAGAGCTGTGGAACATAGCTGGGATTAGGAGATTGGTTAGAAGTAAGAATAGTGAAGATTCATTTAATCTTGATAAAGTCATAAAATTTTACAGTGCTTACATTAAAAAGTGATCTTCTGTGATGTGTTCACTAGTGATCTTGGCCCTTCCTAGTGGGCTGCTTTGAATAATTGCAGAAGGCAAGTGAGCTGACTGAATTCTTGCTTTTGAAAACTGGAAATGACTTTGGACTCCTTCAGCAGATGCTCTGTCTTCTGAAGCTGTTATAGTTTGCTGTGTCTTGGCAGTTACTGCTGAGATAATAGGCCATATTGGAGATACACAGTTTATTAAGCAGTGAAGTTTCTGTAATCTGTTCTTCTAGGCACGGCATAGGCTTTCCCATGTACAGAAAAAAAATCAGGAATTTTATTTGCATACCTCCCCCCAAAAAACATCAGGCAGTAAACATTTTGCATCAAATCCGGTTGAGTTGCTTTTCCTGCTTAGGAAGTGGTAACAGACCTGTAAAATGACATCCTCTGGGAAGAAAGAAAAAGGAGGTCTGGTTGTGTTGCTGTGTAGGGCAGTGACCATCTTCAGGTGATTATTCTGGGGTGACAAGTGAAATATTGCAGTCCTACAGTGTGTGTGCTGTATCAACTTATTCAGGTGCTGCAATGAATCATGCTGTCCTTTGTCACAAGCCTGAAAGCATTCACTCAAAGGCTTTTAAGCTGAACCCTTGTATCAACCTCCATTCGCATGAGAGGTCTAATTTGGAAATCTAGCTGCTGTTGCAGTAAAGGAGTCATAAGAGGTTTTACAGTCCAGCCCTTGATAAAGCAGTATGCTGCCTTGATTACCCTTGCCTTGGCTGGAGGAGGAAATAGCCATAACAGCCACTTCAGGAAATAATTCGGTGTTTGTTGGGAACAAATACAATTATATTAAGTAAACACTGTCAAAGATGAAGTCTAAACAGAATATCTGGTTCATTAGCTAGATCAGCTGTTTACTTGTTGCCATGATATATACAAGAGAGGGTAACACATGCTGCTTCCTCATTTTCTGGGAAACAGTACTGTTATTCCTAAATGCATGTCATGGTTTGTACTGCTTTCTTCCTCAGAAGCTGCTCAGGTGAGGAGTCCTAGTTAAGCACTGGTGAGCAGGCTCAGTATTGGCAGTGCTCCAGCGTATTTCTGGGGAGCTGCCAGAGCACAGGAGTAGGTCCAGAGATTAAGGTCTGCATATGCTGCATCCTACTAGGCGAGGCAGTGTGGTCCCTATGGAGTGGGCTTGTGTCTTCCACCTAGAGACACGCTGTGATTATATAGTGCTAGCACATTGGAACTGGGAGTTTAATTGTAACTGCTTCTCTGAAACGCCCAGGTGTGTGCTGCGTTCAGTCACACAGGTGCCTGTTTGCTCTGTTGCTAGTTGCCTGAAAGTTTGTTAAGCTAAAGATAACAGAGTAATTCTTCTGGTACAACACCCTCTTGCTCTCAAAGCGCTAGCCCGGAGACATAGAATTCCCCCTCAAACCAGCTTAAAGTAGAATTTACCTATTTATCGCTAACCTTGGGCAGTGCCTTTTCCCTCTTTGCACTGTAACCCTGGCCTCTTTTTAATAACACTGAGGCATTAAAGCAACAAAGATGAAAAGTTCTGCTGTGTTGTTCTTTTTATGTTTATAACCTTGAATCTTTTTCTGCTTACAGCAGCAGGCAGGAATAAGTAATTCTGAAGATCTTGTAGTAGTGTTATAACTATGTACTTGAAAAAAGTATATTCTCCCTTCAAATATTGCATTATGTTTGTTCTAATAACTTTAAAATATTTCAGAGATCTGTTGGAAAGGAAGGATGATTAATATACAGAAAGCTTTTAAAAGAAAAAGTGAAAGTGGAAAAGTGGCTGGTTTAGGGAGGAAGTGAGAGAACACAGAGGTAATAATAGTAATACAGTTGGAGATAAGACCTTTCTACCTGGTAGAAGACTACCACAGGTGTGTGTGTTTATTGAAAGCATGCTCAGAAGTTGGGGGGGACA